TATACAAAAAATGTTTTATCATGTAAGCTTAGTTTGCAAATTGCTCACTCGCACTATTATAAACATAATCTGTAAATATGAACATTGCTAGGTAACTTTATAAAAGACAAATGTGTCTTTGTCTTGGTTTAATGTATTGATGTATGACAAATCTATTTATTCAATTGCAACTGCAATAACAACAAATGTCTACTACAGGGTTGATTGGATTTTAACTACTCCTCTTCTGGAAAGGTATTGTATTTCAATTCCCTACCTTTGTAGATTTAAAATAAGCGAACATTGGAATATTCGTTTGCTTTATATGTATGTAACTCGCTTCTTTTTTTTTTTTTTGTAATATAATAAATATGACTTAGGAGGCTAATATCAAAAATTAATTGTAAAAAAACATTAGTTCCATAGTAGAAATTGCAAACACGGCATGGTTATTTGATCTACTGTAGGCTACAATAAGATTTAACACTGCACAATACACCGGTGGTGGCCTGAGCCACTGGGTCCAAACGATTTGCAGTCGTTCCCTGAAAATTCATTAGCTGACGCGTTGCTGCCGACCACACTGTCATTGGTTGATGATGATAATTCTCCATTTGTCAGTCTTCCTTTTTGGTCATTTCAATTTCTTCCTGTGTTTGTTCGGAATTCTCCAATGTTGCCTGCTGTTCTTCTTCAATGTTACCCTGCAGTATGGCGGGATTACTTTTCAAAACACTGCCGCCTGTAAAACCTAAATACCACATCCCACAGCAGCCAAACCGCCAGCCTTAAGGCCAGCCACCAAACCAATTGGGCCACCAACACAAGTACCCAACAGGGCTCCCATTACAGGGTACATTGCCTTCTTGTAGGACAATGCTTTGCGTAATGCACTCTCTCCGGCCTGGACATTTTCTAGAGCTTCTTCGGCATTATCTGCTATTGCTTGCACACTTTCGGCTTGCTGGTGAACTAGTTCGCCCATATTATGAAACATGCCATTTAAATCTCGTATTTCTTCTTGTAAATTCTGCAATTCCTCAAAACAGGATTGTCGTTGTGCTAAAATGTGTTCCTCTTGTGAGAAATTAGTGCGTATTTCTGGTAGTGTTTGATGATACGCATGGGTTTGGCCTATTTCAACGGTGTCATTTAAATGTTGTTCCACATCGTCTTCTTCGTAGGGACCTTGGGAGCGTAATGTGTTTGTAGGAGATTTCAGTTGTAATTCTGGAAAAGAAAAAATGGAAATGTTTTATTTTAATTTTTACAACAGATAGCAATGAAGAAATTAGCGAAATTGCCAAGATAATATAGAATTCGGTTCCTTTCGTGTTGGCAACTAGCTCTTTTAGGGATAACTTGGGTTCCAGGGTAGAAATATTACGAAAACGAAATTTCTGGTTTCAAATAACTTTTTGTGGCCAAAAATTTCGAGAGCACAAACCAGTTCTTTGCCCTTTCTTAAAAAGACTGAGCTAAATAACTATAAGATTTTTATACCCTCCACCATAGTATGGAGGGTATATTAAGTTTATCATTCCGTTTGTAACACCTCCAAATATACATTTTAGACACCACGACATTATTCACCGGAAATGTTTTAAAAGTCTATGACAGAAAATTGTTTGTGCAGGTCCACAGTTTGGTATAGCCCCCATATAACGGCACATCCCGATATTCGGCATATTAATAATTTTAGCGACATTATACACTGGAATTATTCCAAATTTGGTATTTGAAGTTCTTAATGCATACTACAGCCTGGGACAGAAAATTGTCTGTGCAGGTCCACGTCTTCCATCTTCACACGAAGATAGGATATATTGCATTTTGTGTTGGTATAAATATTGGAATGTGTGAAGTTTGAAAAAAAAGGCATGATTTATTCGCATTTTATAGGAGCATTGGTTGTACAAAATATTGATCCTTTGTGGAGGAAATATCAAAAAGGCGGTCCAATATTGTCCAATAGCACAACTAACCTTGAATTGTAAAAATACTAGGACTTGCAAATTTGGGACAATATTCGATGGGGGGTATCACTTTTTATGAGCTAAATTATTTTTTTTTGGAAATTTTGAACTTTGGAGTGGAAGGTAGCCGAAGAAGTTGAACAATATTGTCCATTTGTAAACTATACCGAATACCTTTTTGACTGTTGCTAACGGATTTGAATAAATGAGTTGTGCCATAATCACGTCGCGTAAAATATATTCTTTCATGGCAACCACAAGACAAATACACACTTCTATACAAAAGTGTGACTGACTTGCCCTTATCGACGAGATCATTCAACAATAAATTTATTGTTAATTATTGAAAAAAAAAAAAAAAAATAACAATAAGCGGACATTGTCTTACCCAAATATTCTTTCATGCCATCGAATGCCTTTTGTTTCCCCTCCTCCATCATGGCATCGAAACGTTCCAAATCATCATCCCTCACCTTTTCTCTCAGCGCATCCATTTCGAGTAGGAGATTTTTAATTTGTTTTATTACCCGCATGGCATTGATTTCTTCTTTTTTGATTTTGTTCCAATCGCCCAAGGCCAGGCTCTTCTCAATGTTGCTGTGATGGTTTTTCAGCAGGCCCAAATGGTGAGGAATGGCCATGTCATTAAATCTTCGCACAGCGATTTCCGCCTGCTTTAAGGGAATTTTGTCAATGGCTGGTGTCATGGTCATAGACAGGTATTTAGTACTCCTCAATTTTTGTTTTTGATTTGAAATGGCTAATAGTTGATTTTTTTAAATCTTTATGGACAAGTCAAGTCTGTAAAAAGCTTTGATGTTAAAGTATCCGCTGTTCACATTAAGCAATTACTGCGACGACACAGTCATACAATAATGATTTGATCGATTTCACTTTTAAATATTTTTTTCCACTTGTTATTGTTCAATTCGCCTTTTGTTTGTCTCCTCCTGCCTTTTTATTATCTCCTCCAAAGCAATTGTTGTTTTTCTTCTTTTTTGTTTATTTGCTCTAATTTTTCGTTTATTTTCCGTGTAATTGCACATTAATTCTTATCGAATATTTTCGTCTTGAATTTTTTCTTTATATTTTGGTATTTGTTTTCTTTGTTTTTGTGTGGTATTCTTTGTTTTTTCGTTGCTTTTTTTCATTTCACATCTCAATAACATAATAAAGTGAAGTTGGCTGTGGTTTAGACATCTGGGTGGATGGACAACAATCAGCTGATGAGTGTTTCCTCTGTGGTTATATACTGACGTATCGTACAGCGTCATTTTCGTACCATACGAATTATGCTAGGAACACAATTGGAGCGAACGACGAATTTCGCCCTACGCGGCGACAAAATGAGCCGCGAAAATTCGTCGTATGGAACACAATACCGACGAAATTATAAAACAGCTGATGAAGTTGTTTACTTTTTGCTCATTTGTTGACTACAATGAATTATACAAGAACACATAATTCTTTACGTTCTCTATTATAATTTCACTTATGTCCATCTTCTCTATTATAAATTCACTGATATCCATCTTCACTCAGGCGCAAGTACACAAATAAATAAACAAATTAATTAGGTTTTTTTATACGAGTAACAGATAGTAGAGTGACCATAACAAATTTTAAAGTAAAAAGTAACTTTATTTACTAAAACACATAAAATTCGTACAAGTATGGCCACCTTGTACTGTTTTGTTCGCCGGTCGCCGGCGTATGAAATAGAAATAAAGCTAATTGAGTTCGCGGCGACCGACGAAATTTTCGCCGGTGCCGTGATTGTGTGCACTTCCATATACACGTATGTGTTTTATTTTTGACGGCGAACATACGCCGCGAAAAAATTCGTCGTTCGCTCCAATTGTGTTCCTAGCATTAAGCAGTAGATTTACACCAAACATATTTTATACCCCAAGTCATATGATTTTCTCCATAAAAAGACAAAAACAAAAGACTTAAGAAGCAAACGCTGATGTATAAAAAATAATCAAATAAAATATTTTCAATATTTTTATGCCCTTAGTTATATGGCTTAAGGGGGTATATATAATTTTATACGGCCAAATCGAAATAACGGTTTATTTCGCGACAAAAACTGTAGATTTTGTCGATGCATTCGTTGCAATAAGCATTTTGAAAACACCCGAATTTGAATATTTTCTGAACAATTTTTTATTATTGAAAAGAAGACACACACATAAGCAAATGAAGTTGACATATTAAGCCGGAAAAATAAAAAAATTTAAATCATATGGTAGTTCTGCCCTACCTTGAATTCATTGTACCATGGAAGGTAGGTTAACTTCGAAAAAATTGCAAGTATAGAGGTCTACCTGTTTGGCTTGTAATGTCAGAATTAGTATCAAAACAATAAAAATACAAACAACTTGTTGCATTTATTTTGAATAAATAATTGAAAACCGCAAAAACTGAATGAAAGGTCAAAATTTATTTTCAAAATCATGTTCTATATATCTCTAAAGGTTTATTTCGCTACAAAAACTGAAGATTGTTTCGATGCATACGTTGAAATCAACATTTTGAAACATTCGAATTTGAATATTTTCTGAACATTTTTTTGTCTTTAAAAAGGAAACACATTCATATTCATTCAATTTATATCGATTTATATTCCAAAATCTTTAAATATTTTGACATTTTGTTTTTCGATATATATCCAGGACTACATAAGGTCGGCCAAGTAGACTACTTTTGCCAACGATTTGACAATAAACATAGTAGTTTTTGCACTACTGCGATTTGATTCTCTTTGAATTTCAAATCACAATATTTCTTTTGACGGTAAACTTGTTTGTCAGATGGGCTTACTGGCCGACCCTATGTAGGCCACGATCTCTATTGAAGTTTTTTCATTGTGATTCATACGACCTGCTTTTGAAGGACCAAAATGTAAAAAAAAACATCTTATCCACTCTGCGCTCTTTTCTCATGAGCCTCTGAAATACCACGTCTCAGAACAGACATGACTCCGCAGATAAAGGCCATCTCGGCTTGCCGTTCATTAAATGAAAACACATACACCAATACTTTATTTAATCTAAACAATTAATATTAACTTTATTTAAATATTTACATTTAAATACGTTACAAATATATCATATCCTTAAAATTAGGCATATAAAAGCTTTTCTTCGACGACAACGATGACGCCACGAACATGGAATAATAAAAAAGAGGCCGATATTGTTTTTTTTACAATTGAAATTCGTTTCAAATTTCCTATATCTCTTCTACTTCTCTTAAACTCTAACAGCATGCATACAAAAAAACGCAAAATTTCAATTCAAAACAAATACATCGTAAATTTTTCAAGACTTGTTACATTTCATGCATTTGTGTGAGAGTGTTTTTTTTTTTAGGTTAGGGTTAATGGGAATGCTATAATAAAAGAATGACAAATAAATTCAACCCACAGAAGAAGGCAATGTCCTAAATACAATACACAAATATTGAGCATTTCTAAAAGCTAATTTGAAATTAAAAATTAAAGAAAAAAATAGATGGCAATACAATTGAAAGGGAGTAGTCAATAATGGATGTTGAGATTTCTTCAAAAAGAAGCATAAAATCTAGAGTTAAGCTTAATTCAAAATCCTAATAAATAAAATGCAGTTCTGTTTTAGGTGTGTGTGTGTGGAAATTTTTAAATAAAAACTACGATTTCCAATTTGATATGGGATACGGTTACAGTAGCAGTATACATTTAGGGACATTGGGCATTGGGTCCGACATTATTTCGACATTTCATTAAAAGATTCACCATTCCCTCCAATTTCATTGTGCGCGATTCAGTGTTGTAGAGATTCGTTTGTAAACGATGAAAGTCCATTTGTTGTTTTTCCTAAAATTGTTTGTCGAAATATACATATATATTAGAAATGTTTTATGAAATCAATCGGGTTTTGCATTTTTGTCTCACCAAATTGATTAAACGATTCTTGAGAGAATCGACCATTGAATATGTGGACTGTAAGGTTTTTTGCAATTCATTCGATTGCACTTTTTCATTGGCCAATTGTTTTTCGATTTTCTGCAATCTGGCTGTTATATCTTCCTGTGGCTCAATTTCATTCTCCAAGTCTCTGGCTTCAAATGCATCATCCTTGTGTACATCTAGGGTAGTCCAAAAAACCATTATTCAAATAAATTTGTGGGTAGATACAAAGTGTTGACAATGCTCACCATTTTTCTTACAACTCTGCTGATCGGCCAGCAAGGTGAAGCCATCCCGACATTGGCAATAATATGAGCCCACTGTGTTGATACACGCCTGATCGCAGGGTTTCTCCTCTTTACATTCATCGATGTCAATTTCACAATAACGTCCTGTAAAACCAGCCGGACAACTGCAAGAATCATGACCCGTACATGTGCCTCCATTTTGACAGTGAGCAGTACAGACGGCTAAAAGAGTTTGACAATTAAATATTGAAAACTAATTACGTAAGTATATGTGACGTATATTTTAAAATAACTAAATAGCCTAAGTGGAAACTGGAAACTCCATTTGTAGAATTTATTGTGAACATTATTAAATATAATAATTTCCATAGAACTCCGTCATACTATTTCCTCGTAGTTGCCGACATTAACTTTTTCTTTTGCATTGGATTGTAACAGTTGGCTGTTTGGTTCAGTGACCGTCAAATTCAGGGCTACGCAAGCAGCTAGCCAAAAGCTACCCTGTAGGAAAGCTGGGGTTATGAGTCACCGCTTTTGTCTACTGTTGATGAGACATTTGAAGCCGCAAGAATCTACTAGATTTGCATTTTTATACCCTCCACCGTTTGTAACACCTCGAAATATACATTTTAGACCCCACAAAGGTGTCGATTATAAAATTCCATGGAAATCACTCTAACTTTCGAACGAATTGAAGTAGGTTGATAAAATTTTATTCAAATGTATATTATGTCAGCAGGATTTTGGTATTGAAAATGGGCAATGTAGGTCCACGTTTGGTATAGCCTCCTTATAATGGTACCTCTCTATTTTCGGTATTTTGGTGAGTTAAGCGATATTATTCACGGGAATTGTTTCAAGTTTGGTATTTGAAGTTCGTAATGGATACTACAACCTATGACAGAAAATTGTCTGTGCAGGTCTGCGTCTTGTAGCCCCCATATAACGGCACATTCCGATATTCGTATTATTATGATTTTAGCGACATTATTCACCCGAATTGTTTCAAATTTCGTATTTGAAGATCTTAAAGGATACTACAGTCTAAGACAGAAAATTGTCTGTACAGGTCCACGTCTTCGTATATCCCTCATATTACGGTAACTCCCGATATTCGGTATTTTAAAGATTTTAGCGACAATATTCAACGGAATTGTTTCAAATTTCGTATTCGAAGTTTGTAATGAGTACTACAGCCTAAGACAGAAAATTGTCTGTGCAGGCCAATGTCTTTGTATAGCCCCACATTATTCACCTGAATTGTTTTAAGTTTCGTATTCGAAAGTAGTAATGGGTCTATGAAAAAAAAAATCGTAAGCAGTCCTACGTCTTCGTATAGCGCCCATATAACGGTATCTTCCTTTTCTCGGTATTCTGACGATTTTAGCGACATTGTTCGCCGGAATTGTTTCAAATTTCGTATTTGAAAATCTTAATGGGTACTACAGCCTATGACAAAAAATTACTTATTCGGGTCCACGTCTTCGTATAGGCTCGGCAAGGCCGAACTTTGGAATTTCAACAACTTCTGAAAATACCGTTATTGAAATTCCTTTCCAAATGGTGAAGAGCATTCAAATTTCGGCCTTACCGAACTTAGCTACTTTTTCATACCCTCCACCTTGAAAAAGGGGGGTATATTAACTTTGTCATTTCGTTTGTAACATCCCTAAATATTTGTCGTTGACCCCATAAAGTATTTACATTCATAATCAGCATTAAAGTCGATTAAAAGAAGTCTGTCTGTCTGTTGAAATCACGATACAGCCCACATTATTTGATGTAGAGCTTCAAAATTTGGCGAAACAATTTGTATAGTGTTTAGGATGCTTGGGATTGAATTTTAATTTAAACTTTGCAAATATCCTAGTCGACGAGACATGCATTTTAAGTTATGTTGGCTGAGTTTAGTCTTGCCTGTTGTGACGGTCCAAGCTACGTCAGTTGTCTCATGTCTGTTACCTTTTTTTTTTACTTACGTTTCATACAGCCATCCGCATGCGGTGATTCACGCATCCAACCAGTACAGCAATCGTAAATGACCTGTTGAGCTGATTTGTGACGTATGACATCGCGATAGGCCTGTTCATGCACCAACTGGACGCGTGTACACATTTGATTTGCATGTGTTTGCGGTTGACATGGCGTACTCACATGTTTCCAAATTGGTCGGCTGTAGACCTCTGTTGTCTTGACGGGCATTGTTATGGTGCGTTGTTGCACGCAAATGTGACGTCTGAAATGGAAATTATATAATTTCGTTATTAATGTTGTATACGGAGAGTATTGCTTGTAAAACAGCAACAAAAAATAGTAGCGGGCAAATAGATTGTGAATTTCTCTTTTATAAAAAAGGATTATACAAATGTCATATTCTATAAATAAAATATTTATGTCAATAGGAAAAAAAGTGAAATAACAGTGGTTAATAGCAAACAGCTAGCATCCGATTTAATTTTTAATACATATATATATATATGTTTGATCAGCATAAAATTCTATGTCGGACATTGCTAAATCGACATAGAATTTTATGCTGATCAAACATATATATATATATATATATATATATATATATATATATATATATATATATATATATATATATATATATATATATATATATACATATATACATATATATATATGTTTGATCAGCATAAAATTCCATGTCGATTTAGCAATGTCCGCCCGTCTGTGGAAATCATTGTAGCTTCCGACCGAATTGAAGTGATTGATAAATTTTTACTCAAATGTATGTTATGTCTTCAGGACTTTTGGTACTGAAAACGGGCCATGTAGATCCACGTTTTGGTATAGCCCCCATATAACGGTACCTCCCGATATTCGGTTTTTGATGATTTTAGCGACATTATTCATCGGAATTGTTTCACATTTGGTATTTGAAGTTCGAAATGGATACTGCAGCCTAAGACAGAAGATTGTTTGTGCAGGTCCACGTCTTCGTATAGCCCCCATATAACGGTATCTCCCGATATCCGGTACTTTGTTGTTTTTAGCGACATTATTCCCCGGAATTGTTTAAAATTTGGTATTTGAAGTTCGTAATGGGTACTACAGCCTAAGAAAGACAATTGTCTGTGCAGGTCCACGTCTTCGTATAGTCCTCATATGAAGGTCCCTCTCGATATTCGGTATTTTGATGATTTTAGCTACATTATAACCGATTTTTTTTCAAGTTTCGCATTTGAATATTGTAATGGCTCATGACATGTTACCTATGCAGGTCCACATCGTCGTATAGACCCTAATATAACAGCTACAATCGGTATTTTTAAGACTTTAACAGAATTTTTTAACGGATTTTTGAGAATTGACAAATTCGTTCCAATGGTGGAGGGTATTCAATGTTAGGACCGGCCGAACTTACAGCTTTTTTTTGTTTTTTTTTTTCAAATATATGTAGATTTTTATATGTTTTTTATACGACGTCAATCGGAGATTATTATGATATGCGTTTTTCAAAAATTCTTAGAAGTTTGAATAATGGTTCATTCAAATTTTTCAACTGTGACTGTTTGAAGGCCATAATTCGTGCCAAAGTTTACCAATTCGAATAAATCTAAACTTATTCTAAAATTTGATGCTATTTCCGACATTTTTGGTTTTAATTCAATTTAATTTTTTTAAAAAAAATTAAAAATTATGGCGTTTGACTTTGTTGCAGTTTTTTTATCTCACTCTTTGCTAATGCTAATTGCTTTGCTTTGCTAATTGGAAACTTAATCCTAAATTTGTGGAAGAGGGGGGAACTTGCCCCCTCCATTAGATTCAGTTTTCTGAACGCCCATACACGTGTCTGTCTGTGTGTCATGCAAGTCAAGCTCATGGATTTTGGGCAACAAAGCTCAGATTGTTTGACTGTGAAACAAAACGTGCGTGATCTGTGTAACCAACCTAGTGATGCCAAAAAGATAATCATTAAAACATCGCCCTTTATATGTACATGTGCTGGTAATACCAATGACCATGTCGAGAGTAGCAACTGGTCGATTTTGTTTAATACCTTAAATCACTGTCTCTGAAGCGCGCCTATTCTGTTGCATGATGATGCTGCAACACTCTCCAAACTGCACAAATTCCGAGCACTGGTGGTCGTCACAACCTTTAAGCTTAAAAGTCGTACAACAACATGATCAGTGCGCTATTTTTAAATGTCCTCTCAAGTTGTTCGTGATGTGTTTGGTTGTATTTTTGTGATACTTAAGGCGTTGTATTGTTGCTGTCATAGACAGACATTGCTTGATTTAATGACAAAACAAATAATAAAACTCAGATTTTTGAGAGCGCCACAAAGTAGCGAACGAACACCAACAAACAAACACGGGTAGCATTACAACAGCCCTGCTCAAAACCGTGTTCTAGAACATGAACAGAAAAAAAGAGATAATTTAAGAGAAAATTAAAATTCTGTTTTTCTTTATATTTTACTGTTCTATTTAATTGTTTTTAAACACGAATGTTTGCCAAAATAGTTTATAAAGCAAATGGATAAAAAATATTTCTATAAATAATGACTTAATACTGTTTTGTTCTTGTTTTAAATAAGCAAAGAGAAATTTGACTGAAAACAGATATTTCTTCTTGAGCACCCCTGTTCTAGAACACGGTTTTGAGCACCGCTGTTCTAGAACATGAACAGAAAAAAGAGATATTTTAAGAGAAAATTAAAATTCTGTTTTTCTTTATATTTTACGGTTCTATTTAATTGTTTTTAAACACGAATGTTTGCCAAAATAATTTATAAAGTAAATGGATAAAAAATATTTGTATAAATAATGACTTAACACTGTTTTGTTTTTGATTTAAATAAGCAAAGAGAAATTTGACTGAAAAGAGATATTTTTTCTTGAGCACCGCTGATTACAATCTCCGTTCAATCATTTTATTTTGTTGTCGCTCTTGTTTTTTTTCTATTCGCTGATACAACCACGCCATACAGTGTTGCCAGTATTTTTCTGTCTCTCGTCCCCAAATTTACAAAATGTTATCGCCCAATCTAGTCAAATTCAATTGATTTTCTTCAAAAAAAGATATATCCCCAAGCATATAACACAAAAAAAAAGAAAAAACGGTGAGGAAAAGTCAAAAGTCGGGCGGGGCCGACTATATGGTATAACAGAGGTAACTAATATACAGGGTGAGATAAAAAAAACTGCAACGAAGTGCAACGCCATAGGCTTTACATTAAAAAATTTAAAAAAATCGGAAATACCATAAAACTTTAGAATAAGTTTAGATTTGTTCGAATTGGTCATCTTTGGCACGAATTATGGGCTTCAAACGGAAGTCGTCACACGCTGCCCGAATGTTGCTATGCGGTATTTTGGCCTCTTTCCCGTCGAAGCGCTTGCTTGAGGTGATCGACACTTTGGTAATTTTAAGTGCGAACCTTGCTTTCCGACACGAGTGTCCAACGGATTGGTATCCGCAGATTTTGGTGGCGCTAGAAATGAAGCGAGGAACCTCATTTTGTAACCATTCTTGGGTGGCGCGTGCTGAGTGCGATGGTCTCAGTGCTGTTGGAATGTCCAAGGTCTGCGGCCAAAATGTTTGCGTGCTCAAGGCTTTAATACACCCTCCAGAATATTTTCGTGATAATAATCTGCATTTATTCTGATACCACGGTCGATTAATACGAGCGGAGAGCGACCATCGGCTGTTATGGCGGCCCCCAGCATCAGCATATCCATAGCTTGGGCTCTGGTGGGCAACCGAAGGTGTACATTTTCAGCTAACCTCTTTGGCAAGTAAACCCGATTATTGTGTTTGTTTATAAACTGCTGGACAACGAATGTTTTCTCATCAAGTTCTTGCATTTTTTGAAATTTCAATGGCTTTACCCCGAGCTCATTTTTCAATATTTGCCGAATGGAATATTGGGATATGTTCAGCTCACGAGCCATTTTTCGGCCACTGCGACGCGGGTTTCGATCAAGTCGCTTCTTTACTTTTCGAACCATTTCTGCTGATGCTGCTGTTTTCTTCCGCCCACTTCCTTGGCGTCGGGCTACACTACCAGTATCATGGTAACGAGCGATGGTACGAGACACAAAAATTTATTCATATTTAAATGCTGGAGTGCTCAAACGATAGCCACTTGTGCTTTTCCAGGCAAACTAACACTATCACGCTTGAATTCCATCACGAAAAGCTTTTTTTCTGGAAAATTCTCACCAAAATCCCTTTGTACGCTTGTAAACTATATAATGAGTTGTCAGTGGAATAATTTTAACAGCTGTCGGACGAGTGGCTTGAATTGACAGCAGTTGGTTGCAGTTTTTTCATCTCACCCTATAAACCTGAAATTAAGGATATATATGGGAGCTTTATCCAATTTGACAAACGTATTTCCGAGCTCTATAAGATATCAATATCATTCTTGTGGAGTACATATTGGAATGTGAGGGACTTAAAACCCCAAATCGGATGAAACATATAAATGGGAGCTATAGCTATATCTGAACCGATTTTTGATGTACTAGCTTCTAGACCGAATCCGGTTGAATATGCCAAAATTCAGGTTGTTTGAAGTTGGCCATTTAGTGCACAATTAACCCGAGATCGGTTGAAGATATATATGCGACCTATATCTATATTTGAGCCAATTCTCACCAATTTGAATAGCGTTCATCCTTGGGCGAAACAAATATTGTTTGGAAAATTCTCAATTGAATAATAAATGCGTCCTGCATTTTGTTTACAAAAATACATGGGCGGACAGACAGACTGATATGCATAAATCGACTCAGAAAACTATTCTATGAAGATCCTAAAAAGTAACTATGGGCCTATCTCGATTCCTTCTCCATGTTACAAAATATGTGGTGCAAGGTATAGAGAAGGCATCCCCTTTTTGGGGAAAAATCCTTAATACTGGCAACACTGACACAGTATGCAGTATTTGTCGTCATCATCCACATGGTCGTCGTCGCCATACTGTCTGGGCTAAATTGTTTTTCGTGCTGTGCCGAGTTACCAACCAAACCAAGGCGGCGGCAATATACTTTCATTTTTTTTCGTTAGTAACACTAGATAAAATAGCATAAATGTTAACCCTTTCAGTGTTTTTGTCAAATATATTTGACATTTAAAAGTACTCTCTTTCTTTGCCATTTTTTGTTTTTCTTACGAACCGTTATTTTTGATATTTTTAATAACAGACACGTTCGCTATTTAAAATATTGCAGTTCTATTCTATTAGTTTCGTTTTCGAATTTCTGAGCACATTTTAGTAAATTAGTACGGAATTTCAGATTTTTATCTCGACAAAAATTTTCATTGACACTGAAAGGGTTAAGAATTGTTCCCACTTAGCAACTGTTGAGAAGAATGTTGAAGAAAACTCTCTGGCAGTTATAAAAGTAGTAAAGAGACCAAGTCCACACAGCTGACCTTGTAAAGGTCAAGATTTTGGATAAAGAAAAACACGAGAATAAACGATATACATTAATGATCTTAAGAATACAACAAAAAACTTAAAAGTACAATAAACAGAAAGGATGATAAAGACAATACCAACGTTATATAAACGATAGAAATTTTTAGTCGTATTCATGGTAGAAGAATACAGGTACATAGATGCATCAACGCTTAGGAACATTGATATGTCAACAATTTTTAAATGTTTCTTCAAAAATAAATAGATTTGAATATGTTTTGCTATACGGCGCCAATTGGAGGTTGTTATTATATGTATAGGGTGAGATGAAAAAACTACAACTAACTTCAGACTGCTGTAATTTCTAAGCCATTCGTCCGTTAGCTGTTAAAATTATTTCAGTGACAGCTCCTTATATTGTCATCCTTCTAAAGTGATGCTGTGTTAGAGATTTTTGCACAAAGTCATAAACTATTGCCCTAACCCTACAATGTGCTACTAATGTACATGTACAGGGTGAGATAAAAAACTGCAACAAAGTCAAACGCCATATATTTTTAGATTTTATTTAAATTTTATTGAATGAAAGCAAAAACTGTCGGAAATAGCATCAAATTTTAGAATAAGTTTAGATTTGTTCGAATTGGTCACCTTTGATAAGAATTATGGCCTTCAAAACGGCCAAGGAAACCGTCACACGCTGCCCGAATGTTGCTCTGCAGTATTTTGGCCTCTTTCCCGGCGAAGCGCTTGCTTGAGGTGACCGACACTTTGGTATTTTTAGTGCCAACCTTGCTTTCCAAAATACTCCAGACACAATAGTCCAACGGATTGCTATCCGTGGATTTTGGTGGCCATTGTGCGCTGGAAATGAAGCGAGGAACCTCATTTTGGTACCATTCTTGGGTGGCGCGTGCTGAGTGCGATGGTGCTGCGTCCTGTTGGAATATCCAAGGTCTGCGGCCAAAATGTTTGCGTGCCGAAGGCTTTAATACACCCCCCAGAATATTTTCGCGATAATATTCGGCATTTATTCTGATGCCACAGTTTCTTCCGTCCACTTCCTTCACGTCGGGCTACGCTACCAGTATCAGGGTAACGAGCGATGGTACGAGACACAAAAGATTTATTCACATTTAAATGCTGGAGTGCTCTAACGATAGCCTCTTGTGGTTTCCAGCCAAATAAAAAGAAATCACACTATCACGCTAAAATTCCATCACGAATAACTTTTTTTTCTGGAAAGTTCTCACCAAAATGCTTTTGTACGCTTGTAAACAATGTAATGAACTGTCACTGGAATAGTTTTTACAGCTGTCGGACGAGTGGCTTAGAAATGACAGCAGTCTGAAGTTGGTTGCAGTTTTTTCATCTCACCCTGTAAACGACGCCAATCTGAGGTTGGGATAATATGCATTTTTTGATCATTTTTACAAATTTGAATAATTTTTCATTGTAATTCCAAAATTCGTTTGACAGTTTATTGTCTCAGCGGCTGTGTCGATGCGCCTACCCATATTATTCTACCATGCTAGCACCTAAGCAACATCTGTGATATTTACAATAATTTTAAATATTTTTAAATTTATTTTCATTAGTTTAATTGTTGACAAAAATTAAATGTAGAAACATGACGAAAAAATTATTTGTAAGTATTACGCCACTTAGGGCTAAGAACAAAAAATGCAATATAAACTATGTAAAAAATATACCATTTCTGTTGTCTTTACCAGATTTAATGAAATTATTCCTGAAGAAGTTGGAAAGTCACAACGAAACGTTCAGTCGGTTTTGCCGACAGATGCATACACCCAGCCTTGAGTTATGATTCGAAACCTCTCCTATGAAGGACCAACAATTTGAATAATCATAACGCAAGTCGAAATATGTTTAAATAATCCAACATTGACTGAGGGTATGTAGCTGTCGGTAATACCGGCTAATTCTAAATAATTTTAGCTACATTTCAAAATAATTATTACAAGACGCATCACATTCTCCATAACGTTAACGTTTTCTTATGGCACCAAATAATTTGGAACGCATTTAGAAATACATGCGTTATTTAAATATTTTACATCTTAGAGAGATGTTATCATGTCTTTTTTTGTTGTTTTGTTGCTGTGCCAAGTTTGCACATATACGCCATATTGTGGTAAAGCAGCAGAGATGGCTCTCTGACTCACACTAGCATAGATCTATTTTAACACAAACACATTCAAAGCACAAAAATGTTAAATGTTCTTTTGTTTCTTCAAAAAATGTTTAGTTAGTATCGCGCCGTCTAACCGATACGTATAATAAAAAATCGGTCAATAAGTTTATTTAATAACCAACAATAAGGACTGTCAAAAGGGTATGTATTTATCCTGCATCAGAATCTGTGCTGCTAAAAATTCGAGAAATATTTTGGTCCAAAAAGGAGTGGTTTTGGTCCTCTTTTTTTTTGTAAAAAATGGTTAAACATAAAAATTTTCCACAAAGCATCATATTAGAAGAATGACGTCAATGATAAAAATGTGCTTCATCATATCTTACCATCAATCAACAAAGAAAGAAAGTGCCAACATTTCAGAAGGATGGCGTCAATGTTAAAAATAGGTCGCCAAACAAAGAAAATCAATCAAAAAAAATCTCTTTATGGAAAAAAATAATATGTATATATATATATATATATATATATATATATATATATATATATATATATATATATATATATATATATATATATATATAATGTATATATATATATAAAATGTCGGAAATAGCATCAAATTTTTAAATTAGTTTAGATTTGTTCGAATTGGTCACCTTTGGTACGACTTATGGCCTTCAAACGCATTATTATGATCAGACATTTTAATCCTCTTCCACTTCGAGAAGGATTATATTAAAAAATATATACCGGAGCCGATTTCCACCAAATGCAAACGTACATCCCGAAATTCACCCCATTTAGGCTGATATTAGCCATTTTTTGCACAATAAACTTGAAATCGGTTAAAGATATATGGGAGCTATATCCAAATCTGATCCAATCTTGATAAAATTTGGCAGAGGTATTTCCGAGCTCTATAAGATATCTGGTACCAAATATCATTGTTGTCGAATGCATATTAGGAATATGAGGGACTTAAAAACCAAATCGGATGAAACATATATATGGGAGCTATAGCTTTATCTGACCAGATTTTTACCGAATTTGATGTACAAAGAATGCAATGTTAACTTACAAATATTGTACCAATTTCTGTTGTCGTTAACAGATTTAATGAAATTAATTCTGAAGAAGTTGGAAAGTCCCAACGAAACGTTCAGTCGGTTTGCCGACAGATGTATACACCCAGCCTTGAGTTATGATTATTCTAACTGTCGACCCTTTATGGGAGAGGTTCCAAAGCAGTTGGCCAATATTGTCCAATTCGCATCGGACTTAAGTCTGATATAAATATGACAACGTGCCATATTTGGACTATATAGTGTACTTCGTATACTTTATTGGATATGTGCAAACTTTTGGAAAATGTGGAAAAATGCGTGAGGTACCAGATGCAGCGGACCGAAATATACCACTTCGTCTAACACAGATAAAAATATTCGTACGTGCAAAATTAAATTTTACAATTTTATAGGAAATTATAAATTACAATTAATTACATATCAGATTTCTGATATAGCAAGTTGTATAGAACCGCCGACTTGTTTCGCAATTATTACAGATACAAGTATTGGAAATTGTGACCCTTTGTGATTGAGGTACCAGAACGGGTTGGCAGATATATACCGCCTTCACAACAGATTTTGAGTTAGCATAAATGTTTGGATGTGTGAAATCACAAGGAATACTATTGGCTTTAGCATTTGTAAGAGACATCACATTCTCTATAAAGTGTAAACGCTTTCTTATAACGCCAAATAATTGGAACGCATATAAAAATACATGAGTCATTTAAATATTTAACCTCTTCGAAAATACTAATCAGGAAGAAAGGAAGATGATGTGATGATATCATGTTTTTTTTTGTTGCTGTGCTAAGTTTGATTGCTAGCCACAATGTCGCGAATTATAAACCAAGTCGTTCGTTGGGTGGGAGGTTGTGTTCATTGATTGCCCCACACATTTAAAAATACAAGAAAAAATAAAAGATACCTGTGGGGAAATAAGTTGGTTGAAAAGTAGCCCAGACACCATTGGTTATTTTTATAACCTCCACCATTTTATGGAGGGTATATTAACTTTGTCAAATCCTAATTGCCTACCTTTATATGAGATATAGCCCATCATCGAACTGGAACTGCCGATTTTATTTATTCAAATAAATGATTAAAAAAAATGATTTTTCAAATAAATAGCTAATGCCAAAGAAAGGAGTCTTTTTGGTCAACATAATTTTTCGTTTATCAAATTTTCATCTCTGCAGCAGCCGATTGATCGATTTTGCAGCGATTGATCGATTTTTTAGCAAACCAATTCACATTTTGAACGTAGAATAGAAATTAAAACAAAATTTAACTACATTCGTGGAAATGGAGACTTTTGTACAAAAATTTTCAAAT